AAGCATGCTAACATTTGGATTAGAGGTGTCCCAGAAGGAAAAGAGAGCGATAAAGGGGCAGAAATTTTATTTGAAGAAATAATAGATGAAAATTTGCCCAACCTAAGGAAGGAAACAGACATCCAAGTACAGGAAGCCCAGAGAGCTCCAAACAAGATAAGCCCAAAGAGGCCCACACCAAGACATATTATAATTAAAATGTCCAAAATTAAAGACAAAGAGAGAATCCTAAAAGCAGCAAGAGAAAGGCCACAATGACATACAAAGGGAAACTCATCAGGCTATCAAGGGACTTCTCAGCCGAGACCCTATATGCAAGAAAAGAATGGCATGATGTATTTAAAGTGCTAGAAGGAAAAAACCTACAGGCAAGAATACAGTATCCATCAAGGTTGTCATTCAGAATGGAAGGAGAGATAAAGAGCTTCCCAGACAAGCAAAAATGAGAGGAGTTTATCACTAAGAAACCAGTTCTACAAGAAATGCTGAAGGGACTTATTTAAGTGGGAAAGTGATGACCACAAATAGAGATAAAAAAATATATATATCAAAAAACCAAAAGAAAAAAAACAGGCAATAAAATCACTCGTAAAGGTAAAAATATAGAAAAGGTTGCAGGATCAACTACCTGTGAAGCTAATAAGAAGGTTAAAAGACAAATGTACTAAAATCACCTATTTCACTGATAGGAGGGTAATGGATAGACACACACTAAACAAGAGACTACATATGATTACTGAGTATAGGTGAATAACCAGGCTGGAGAGCATGAGGACCTCAGCCCTACCACTCGCGCTTTGGTTTCTACAGGGCCCTTTGACCATCCCTGGGAGAGTGGCCAGTCTAGGAGTACTTAGGCTTTTTGATACTTTATACTCTGATGGACATAGGACATTATTTAGAAGTCTAAAATGATTTCTTCCTTATTTCTCTCTTTTCCGTTTTCATTTGATTTTGATCTGTCTTCAACCGAAACTCTACTCTTGAAATTTTCTGCTTCTTTCCTCAACTTTCCTATGGTCTTTGTTTTGATTGCTTCCCTTTCCAAGAGCTCCTTGGTCAGATCTTCATGTCTTTTCTCAGTTGTATTGCAAACCCCCTGCTACCTCTGCCTTCTCTGCTTCAAGTCGGACCCTGTCTGGTATTTGCTACACCTGTTATCTCTTCAAAATCTAGAATAAGAAGATCTAGAATAATAAAAATAGTAAAAAAAAAAAAAAAAAAGGGGGGGGGAAGAAAAGGAAACAAGTTAAGATATCTGTAGTTCCTCAAAATTCAGCTGGGAATAAGTCCATCTGGGGAGAGGGATCATTCTACACACACACACCCCTCATCACTACCGTAGTGAATTTCATGACTCTTAGTCATAACTATATTTTTGCCTGAGTATTCTTTATCTGAACAAGCTTAAGTAGAAGTTTGGAATCTTCAACAAAATATAATCCGTTTTCCTCATTTAAGCGATTAATCTCCATGTGATCTGACCCCACACAATTGGAGAGAGTACCTGCTTACCTTTCCCCCATCTAGAATCCATCACGTACTCTAACATCTATTCTTGGATTAAATAAAACAATCAGAAAACAAAGCTTGATTGCACCATTCCAAGCCCCAGTCCATGATCACTTTTTTTCTAAATTTCTCTTTTTTATTCTTTTTACTGAGGTAACATTGGTTTATAACATAGCATAGGTTTCAGGTGTACAATACTGTAATTTGACATCAGTATACACTTTCATCACTCCATCGGGGGAACATTATAAGACATGGCCTTTTGAAAATTGTTAAGAGTTGTTGTATGTAGGTTGTTATTGTTGTGCCGTACTCCCTCTTGCGGCACTTAACACTGAATTGGTGTCAGTATCCCTCATTAAACTCTACATTGTGTTAGGGCGAGCTGGTATTTAATTCGACCCTATTGTATTTCCAGCATTGAGGCTATGATCAACAGTTGGTGAACAATACATGTGTACTGAATCAGAGAAAGAACATTTACATTGGTATCACATGTGCACTCAGGAAAGAAGACACAACTATTTTTGTTTTGTTTTTTTCTTCTTACTTCCTTCAATCTGAACCAAATAATGATTCACATGTCTCTCCATTGGCTGCTGGAAAACTTAGATTCAAATGTGTAGCCTGGGCCTAATAAGCTTTATTTTGGGGACCAACCCATCTCTCACTTCATCCATCTTTGCCCTGATATCTTCATTCACTTTTTTTAATTTATGATTTTTTTAATAAACATTAAAATAAGTACAAAACAAGTTGGGGAATTTAAAAAACTAGACAAACATATAAACTAGCATTGAAAGCAGAAGCTTCATATTATCAATTGTCCTGTATTCAATTGTCAAGTCCTAAAAGGGAGATATGTCTTTTGTACAGTAACTCAAATATGAGAACTCGGAAAATATTAACCCACATGAATCCACTCCATATTTGATATTTCCTAGTTAACTGAAGACAGTAACAGCATTTCAATACTAATAAGAAATAGTAGCTTCTAGTTCCCACATGTTCTGTTTGTTCTGCATCCTGATTGCTCCAAGAAAAATGCCACATTTCCACCAGTGACTGAGGGACTTCTGAAGCTTTTAACTTAAAGTCCGCATCTTGAACAATGATTAGTTGCAGGAACAGTTGTGCATGTTGGTACCACGTGTTGGCTATACATTAAGTACAAGGTAATTCATGAAAAATGACCCCAAAGGTCTGCTGTTAGCAAAGGACCTCAGAAGAAAGCCTTATGTTCCTTTAAAGTCCTTTCCAAAAACTATTCTTAACTGTACTAACCTGATATGATTACGTAGCTTAATAAAATCATAGATTTCATAAAATGAAGACTTTAATCATATTAAAGTGCCCAACTTTGGCTGTCTGTCTCACTTTACCATTTTAAAATGAAGAGCATCCCCTATTCCGTGAACACAACTATTATCAATATGTTCCATTTAGGAAGATTGGCTGGATTTTCTGACTACTCAAGAAGATAAGAATTTGGTTTGTTCACTTATTCAGTAACTTTTGTGAAAGAAAGTATCACACATTACCACAGACTTACAAAAAATAATACTATATTCTTAGAATTCTCCTTTGGGAGAGAACATTAGCTCTGTGTATCTCAGGCTATAAATAACCTTCTCTAACAGTCTAATACTACTCCCTAAACTGGAAAGTATTATAAAGTAATCCATATACCCCTCTCTCTAACTCAAAGATTACAAACATTTAAGCAGATGCAGACAAAAGAGAAAATCAAATACCCCTTCCGGTCCTCTTGCCAAAAATGAAGGCAAAGCACTAAATCAGTATCTGAGGCCTTGGGAGATTGAGGCCTTAGTTCTGAGAGATAAAACATCAAGTGTCTAAACCATCCATTGCTTTCACTGAGGCCCAGCCTAAATAACTCCCCATAGCTAAGTTCCAAATTTAAGCAACAATAGAGAAAAACGTGCTCAGGTGGAAACGGTCATAAATTAAAACACAATCCTGATGACCACAAATTAATGGCTACCAGCATACCATAATGAGAAATAAAGATCATCTTTAAAAAGAAAAAGAAATTATGAATTCTCAGTGACTCTTAGGAATTTCTAATAAGCTCATAACGTTTGTTTTCAAACTTCTGTAGAAAAGGCAGAATTAACACCTTCTATTCCTTTATATCCAATGTCTTTTATGTATGTAACAAGAGTGATAGCATTACTTCAGTACATGACCTTGAATTAAAGCTAAGTAAGCTGATAAAGTACTTTTAAAGAACAAGTAAATGCTTCAGAAGTTCTCAAAAAAAATGTATATCTATCACATAGGATTTAATTGAAATAAACCAAAGGTGGGAGAGTGTAGAGTGCACTTGGGTGAACTGCAGGAGGCCAGGTAGTTGTTTCAATCCTAATTCCCACAGAGAAATGAGCAAGAAAAACCAAGGGAAAAAAAAGAGGGGGACGAAAATCTATTAAGAGTTCCAGGCACTCCCATTCAGACTTATATCAAGCGGAACATATAATTAGATTTATACCTCTGAATGATATGTAATTTATCGCCAGGAATGGCTGAGTAAACTGCTGTAACCCTCCATTTACAGGCGATGAATTTAGCATGAGGCAGTATTGATTTCATCACTATTTTCTGATAACTAAACAAAAAGATCTGAAATCCTAAGGGCTTAGGGACATGTGAGAACTCTCAAAAGGACTGAAAACAAGGCAGGCTGAATAGAAACATTTAATTTAGGGGTTAGTTTTATGGAAAATAAAGGAATTATGTTTAGTGAATACCTACTATGTGCCAGACACTTTGCCAGGTGCCTTACTTAATCACATTCTAATCCTCACAACCATGTGAAAAACGTATGCTAATACTTATGCATCCAGTGTTGAGTCTCAAAGAGAATACACAATTCGTGGCAGAACTGAGATTCAGAAAGTGGCAGGACTGAGATTTGAACCAGGTCTGTCTGACTCCAGAGTCTTTTGGCTTTCCTTTCTACTGTGCTGTTGAAATGGACTGCGTTATGTGATCCCTTGGTCTGTGTCTACCTGGTACCAGAAGGACTAATGGAAAAAATAAAATTTCAGAAAATGAGATTATTTTTTCTGCACATATATATCTGTCTGTATTCATCCTTTCATCTTTCTTTCAACAAGCACTGATTTAACTGATTTTATTTTACTCCGCTAACATTGTTGGGCAAAATCACAAGTAGTTTTGGCAACGTGTATCTACAGTTTTAAATCATTGAAAGAACTATGTGGAAAGAACAAAAAATGACAGAAATATTCTTTAATAGGCCCCCAAAAAGAAGGGTGTAAGTTATATGTTGCAAATGGTCTTTTGGAAGGACATGATATTTCGTGTTGAAATAGCTCAAATAAATCTCTCAATTCGTCATGAAAATAGTAGTAAAACATCGCAGGCATTTACTAGCATGAGTAACCCAAGACGAACAGTTTACAACCACAGAATGACCAGCGGAAATTCCAATAATTGGTTACCTGACACGGAGTGGAGGCAGTGAGCGATTTTGTAAGAATAGGACTTCCAAGCTTGGCCACGGCAGGTGACTGACATGCCCCAAAATAAATAAACGATCCTGCAAAAATAAATGTAAGGTGATGTGCATACACGTTCTATTGTTGTACACATCGTAGATCTTTGCTCTGGCATCTTATCCTTGCACACATTCAACTATCAGATAAAGAAAATTACATTTTTACTTATTTACCATTAAGCTCTGTAGATAAGCAAAAGCGCTTTCATATGGATAGCATTAAATATCGAAAATAAAATCCAATTGATTAAAAACAAGCTCTTGATCTAAATCCTCTAAACCAATATTTTTATTGGCTTAACTCACGTCATAAATAGAGTTTGGAACCAAATTAAATGAAGCTTCCAAGCTAACAATTAGATATTCAACATGCCCTTATGAAATTCCCATGAGAGCTTTATTTTTAAGTTTCTTTACAACGTGCTGAAGGATACGAGCCTATGGATTGAGTTTGGTTTCTCCTGGGGCTTATGTGTTTGACATTGTTGTCTGTGCTAGTGGGGATGAAAGCTTAATTAAAGATCTAATCTGAGCGTTAACAAAATAACTGCTTTTAGATTTTAACGACAGTGGATGTGCTCATAGCAAATGTACAGGGGGATAACATCTCTCAGCAATTCAAAAGACCACACATTCTCAAACTGCTGTGGGGGGTGGCTTCACGGAATACTGAAAATTTACAAAGGCCATGCTGAACAACGTCAAGGTCTGATCCTGCCCTCTGATAATCACAAAGTGATGGGTAACTTGGAAAGCCAACTATTTTGACTGAAAAATACCACATTCAGAAGGTGATTTTCCTAGATACAGGTCAATGCTGACTGCACACCAAGGAAAGGATGTCAGATTTAAATGTATTATGTTATAGATACCACCACATGTTTAACCAAACCACCAAGGTTGCAAGTCAGCCGTGTCATCTCTGATCGGGAAAAACAGAACCCATTTTCTATGGGTTTTAAATCTCAAAACCAACCGGGAAGGATAAAGACTGTTTCCTGATTCCAAACTAAGAGTGATGGAAGCAGTATATATAAGCTCATTAAGTTCTCTATGTTTCACCTATAAAAAAATAGAGTAGGAAAAGATAATTTTAAAAACTATTCTAGCTTACAAATCCTCAGGTTGAAATAAAACTCAACTGAATATTTTTAAAAGACTAATCAAACTTTGAAAAATTAACAAATATTCAAAGATTTTACTCCCTCAGCCATTTTAAATCAATATACACAATCTCAAATAAGCAGTTAATGAAGGACGGAACATACAGACACCAAAACTCCAAAGTCTAAAAGAAGTAGAAGGTTTGAATACATTGGTTTTACCACAAAAATAACTGGAAGAGTGACGGAAAAAAATCTACCAGAAATGTACAGTCCCACCCCCGAGTTTTATTTAATATTTAAAGAAGGGATCTCAGGTCTTAGAAAAATATGGAGAGATCCCTGACTCATTGTCTGATGCCAGATATCTCTAATTTAAAAAATTATGGGGGGCAAGCCCAGTGGCACAGTGGTTAAGTTTGTGCACTCTGCATCGGCGGCCCAAGGTTCGCTGGTTCGGATCCCGGGAATGGATGTACACAATGCTTATCAAGCTGTGCTGTGGCAGGTGTCCCACATATAAAGTAGAGGAAGATGGGCACGGATATTAGTTCAGAGCTAATCTTCCTCAGCAAAGAGAGGAGAATTAGTGGCAGATGTTAGCTCAGAGCTAATCTTCCTCAAAAAAAAAAAAGAAAAGAAAGAGAAAATGATGAAAATAGGAAAATAAAAAAGTAAACTAAAGAGACTATCACTCATGATCCTAGATACAAAATTCTAATTAAAATTTTATCAACTACAACTGAAATTCTTATCAAAAAAATAATATATCTTGACCAATGAGAGCTTACCAAGAATGGAGATTTAAACCAAATCTCCATTTAAACAAATTAATGGGTAAAATCATAGACTCATATCAACAAACATTGAAAAGACTGAAAAAACAGCCATTTTAAATAATAAAACTTAATGAAATATTAAAAGAAAACAAATACATAAAGACAAATGATCACCTCCAAAATAAATGGCATCCTAAGTAGCAAACAACAAAATTATTTTAATTAAAGTGACAAACTGACTAGATTTCTGCCATCACTGTTAATTAGAGATAATATTAGACAGCATTAATTATCTTAGACTAGTATTATCTTACAGGTCTAGTGAATGTAAAAGTCAAGAAAATAGTACATCTAGTAAACATAATAGAAAAGTAGAGATAGAGTTCTCATGTTTTGCCAATAAAATAATTGTAAAAATAGAAACCCCCGGGGATTCTATTTTTTCAATAATGACAAGTATTAATAAGAGAATTTGGTAAGGTAGGTGGAAACAGAGAAATATATTTAAGTTATTTTTAATAACTTAAGCAATAAGACCTTAGATATGGAAATGATGAGAAAGATTCTCCTCACAATGGCATTAATAAAAAATATGTAGGAATAAATTTAGCAACAAAGGGACAGAACTTATATGAAGAACATTATTAAACCTTGTGGAAGACTACAAATCCTCTGATTAAATAGAAAGAGTTAACATATTTTTAGATGGAAAGACAATATAAAAATACTACGTTAGTGAAAATGGATTTGGAAGCTAAATGCAATCCTAAGAGAATTTTAACTAAATATTTGGAAAACAAATAATATTGTCTTAAAATGTATATGTGTGGGTAAGGGGTAAAGAGAATCTGAACTCTGAGCCCAGACACAAAGACTTTTAGAAACACGGCTCTGGATTTATCTTCTTACCAGCCTGCTTTGCAGAACTTACTGAGTTAAGAGAACCATGAAATTATAGGACAGAAAGGAGATTGGTCCCGGTAATCTAAATTGTTCATTGTAACCTCTTACAGACCCACACAGCCCAGAAGGGTCACATGACTAGCACAATATAAGAATTAAGGAATGGAGGGGTCAGCCCCCCTGGGTTAAACTGCCCATGCCAGCCTCACCCTCATTTTTGGCAAAGTATGTACCTCCTTTTAATGCAACGGCCCAGAAGTGACTCCTTATATGCTGTGAGAACATTAAAGATCAGACATTATAATAAACATAGATACAAATATCATAAACAAATATTACCATATAAAATAAAGAAATAAATCACAAACATAATAAATATAACTAATCCAATGAGATTTGATCCAGGAATGCAAGGGTGGTCTAATATCTGAAAAATCACTCACCTTATAAACAAACAAAAAAGATAATATGACAATCATATGATTATCACAACAAATGCTGAAAAAAGCATTTGACAAATTTTAACATGCATTCATTATATTTTTACATAAATATATAAACTTACACACTATGAATAGAAGGAAACATCTTTACCTGATAAAACAAAACAAAACAAACTTTCAGCAAATATAGCACTTAAGGCTGAATTATCGACAGCTTTTCCCCTGAGACAGGAAAAAGACAAGTATTGCAGCTATCACCAGTTCTAGTCAACATTTTTCCAGAAGCCCTAGCTACTGCATTGAGACAAAAAAATAAAATAGAAGGCTTAAGATTGAGAAAGAAGGAAATCATATTGTCATTATTTGCAGACAAAATAATTTTAAACTAAAAATTTGAAAAAATATATAAACCCAGATATAATAAATAAAAACTAGCAAGGTCACTGTATACGAAATCAATATTTTTAAAAATATAATTGCATTCCTATATACCAACAACAACCAAAAAAATAAAAAGTTTTTAAAAAGTAACATTTAAAATAGCTGCAAAGATAGCAAAAACCTAGGAAAACATTAGGAAAAGATTTTTAAAATCTATACACGGAATGCTTTAAAATATTTAGAAAAATTAAAGAAGATCTAAATAGAGAAATTAGAAACAGTTGAAAAGATAACTTTTCAGTGAAATAGAAATAAAGAGTAATAGTTTCAGTAATAAACTTACATATGAGAAATCATTTTACATCCAAAAATTGGAAAAAAATCGTAAGAGAATACAATGTTTACTGCTGGTAGGAAAACAGAAAAAATACTCCTACTTTGCTACTGGAATTTTGCTACTGGAATTGTAAGTATTAAAATTTGGGGGCAAGTACATATCTTTCTGCAAAACTATAGGAGCCTCATTCCTAGTTATTTACTGCATAGAATTAAAAGCACCCTATACAAGAAAGTATGTACGAGAATGGATTTTGTAGCATTGTTATGATATTGTCAGTCAATAGCAGGATGGCTAGATACATTACGGCATCTCCAAACCAAAGAAATTAAGCAAACAAACAAAAAGAACTAGGTTTCTTCCACTTCCAGGCAAGGATGAGTATCAGGGACCAGATTTAGGCTTCTATTTTAACTAGCAAAAATCAAAACAATACGTATGAAACAATGGTTTTCAAATGTAGGACAATGGGAATGTAGGATCACAGGATAATGATCTCCAAGAGAGGGGAACAAATGAGCTAAGCCATACAATTTTCCCAGCTCACTGCCTAAACAGTTTCCAGATGCCATGTAGAAAGTGGAGGGCCAGGAAGAGTGTGCCGGTCTCATCAAGTTGAAAAGATGGAGCTGGTACTTTGGGGAGATCCCAGTGGCTAGAGTTCATAAGGCAGAGTACCAGGAGGAGAGGGCTGCAACGGGAGAGAGCTCCGGAGATCTGCAGAGAGCACCCCCGCCGAGTCTCCGTCTGTATACCCACCAGTGCAGGAACGTGAGGATACTACATGAGGCTGGAGGGAAAACTTCTCAAAGGGACATCTGGGATATATCCCAAAGGTCACAAAGGGCCAGAAATAACAGGGCTTTCTCACCACCACAGTGAAAAAAAATTAATATATTAGAGATTGGATAGAGTACTCAAGTCAAACGAAAACTTACGTCCAAACAAAAACCTGTATGCAAATTTATAGACTACTAATAATCATCAACATTTAGAAACAACTCAAATATCCTCCAACTGGTCAGTGGATAAACAAACTGTGGTTGATCCATACACTAGAGTAATATTCACCAGTAAAAAGGGAAGGAACTACCACTGCAATTAACAATATAGGTGAATCTCAAATCCGTTATGCTAACTGAAAGAAGCCAGACTCAAAAGGCTATATACTGTAAGATTCTATTTACAAGACATTCTGGCGAAGGCAAACCATAAGAACAGAAATCAGATCAGTGGGTGCTAGTGGCTGGAGGTGGGAGAGGTGCTGAGTACAAAGTGGCATAGAATTTGGGGGGAGAATAGAACTGTTTTCTATCTTAATTTTTGTGATGGTTACATGGTTGTATGTGTTTGTTCAAACTCAGTGAACTATACACTAGAAAGGTTGACTTTTACTGTATTTAAATTATACTTCAATATCAAAATGAAAAAAAATAGACTATATTTGATGACTTGGAGGAATTGCCATGAGCTATCTTTAGTGAAGAAAACAAGATAGGGACAATAGTTAAAATAGGACCTCATTTTTTTGGTAAAATAAACAATCACAAAAATACTTTCAATTTTGCGTGTGTACATATTTACTATGTGTGCAGAATGACATGAGCATAGATAAAAGCGTGAGATAATTAACATGAGTTGCCTGTCTGGATGCTTAACAGGTAGCTAGGAATTGGAAAGTAGAAAGCAACCAAAAAAGGAAGGTAGGAATATCAAGGATTTATGCTAAAAACAAAAGCTACATAATGTCAACCCATTCATCTTCTATGTAAAATTACATATGGGAGTGTGCATATAGGAGGAAAAATACTGGAGATTAGACAGCTTTTTAAAAGGTTGTACTTCATAAACACAAAGCTCTAAGAACCTAATGGATTGGACTCTATGGTCTTAGATATGGAAACTAAGAAATTAAATCTGCTGCATTCCCCTAGAAACTTCCATTTCACTGGCTCCTTTCTCTTCCTCATACTGTTTTTTCCTCCTCCCATTTGTGATTTAAGACCACCAGTGATTATCTTAAGGTTTGATAACAACAATCATGGGTAAAGAAGTGTTGACTCAATGACTGAGATATTTCTGCGATTTCTGAGATTTGCCCTTTCTAAAAAGAGAAAGACTACAATTTCTTTGTCCCTTGCACTTTGAATTATAACAGCTGCCCCTAGTTTTATCAGTTTATTATCTTTTAATATTGTTTACATCACAGGAAAAAAAAGTGTCTTTAATATTTAACAAAGGGGTCCTTTTAGAATCTTTTCTTTTTTGGCATAAATCATAATTAAGTGGTAATTATAAGATGGCAAGAGTCTGAAGGTGAATTATAAATGTGCTTTCTAACTGTCATAGCCCTGGAATACTAGGTGGAATACCTGGTGGAATTCCTAGTATTCCTACTAGAGTGGACAACAACATCTATTTACGTTTATTGAGCATGTATTATGTGAAAAACCTTAACAGGTATTATTTGATTTAATCCTCTCAATGATTTTACACAGAAGGTACTTTTATTTTCTCTATTTTCTTGCTAAAAAACTGAAGTAAAGAGGTATTTATCAAACTCGGGCAGCATCAACACCCTGACAACTCTGGGCAGCCAACGGCGTTCACTGTCCTGCAATGCTAGATGTCACATATGGGAGTGTGCCTGCAATGCTAGATGTCACATAAGGCCACCACACACATGTAAACAGCTTCCTTTTAGGAACCACTGCCCTGTCTTAGGCTTTCATCACCTCTCATTGATATTACTCCAACCCATTCGTGTTTTTCTACCCTACTCTTTTGCCCTCTTCAAAGTCTTCTGCCTTTTAGAACAAATCTGATTGGTCACATATTTTAATATGGCTAGTTGGGTCACCATTGTCCTCCAGATAAAATTCAAATTCATAGGCACTGTCTGCAGTCCCCTTCCTTCCTCTCTCGTTTCATTTTTCTATACTCCCTGCCCACACATGCACATCTCTCTCAACCAGAACTACCGTGCCTCCATCTCTCCTATCCTCTTCCTGGATATTTCCTCTGATTACACTACATTCCCCACCGTGTCACCATGGTTCTTCCATCTCTCCTTGATTCCTGACTTCTGCCTTCCTGGGTACATTTCATTGCTCTTCAGTGCTCAGTTCAGGAGTCACGTCCTTCAGTAAGGCCTCTCAAATCCATTTGAATCACCCTTCACCCTCTATAAAGCATTTATCATATCTTACTGCAAATCCTCACTTATCTGTTTCAGTTACTAGAGCCAGACCGCCTCCAAGGCCGGGACCATGGCTTGCATCTGTGCACACCCAGGTCTAGTTTATTGCTCAATAATTGGTTTGAGAAACGAAGAAACAAAACATCTATTATAAGCTTGGAGAAAATGTATTGTTAATATATAGTTCCAATAATTAATAGTCTCCTTTCTCTTTTCAACTTTAAATTTAATCCACTCTGCCACAAAATGTTAAGGAAAAAATATGAGTCAGTGGCACAAAAGTAAAAATTAAGGCCTTACTCAACTATCAAATAATGAGCTGGGTTTATAGTTTTAAACCAGAGGCTCCCTCTTCATCTCCTAACAGCTTCTCCCACCACTTTCCAATGCCTATAATTAAAAATACAGCCAATGCTATTAGTTTTGGCATACTTCTTTGGAAATCTCAAGAGAGAAACAAATAGAATAATGTCCGAAGGAGTTATATGAGCTTAAAGAGGATCTCCAGTACAGCTGTGTTACTATAAAGTTTTATGATGCTTATATACCTGAGCAACGGCATCTAAACAAAACAAAAGAGAAAAATAGAACAGAACCCTTCTGTTGTCCTTGGAATTTCACAAACCCTTATTGGAAGGTATGTGTAGTTACGGTTGCTTTATTTTAAGAGGATATGTAAAAATTGTAATGGTGGTTAAAAATATATATGAGGAAGAGGTAAGATTGTTTGTTACAAAGAATCCTTTAGAGCGATTAAATTGCATTCAAGTATTTGTAGATTTATTTTATAGACAGTGCTAAATCTCTGTTCCCAGAAAGATTCAACTATTTTTCTTTCTGTTTTGCAAAAACTGAATTGCTCTAAAAACAAGGTGAGCCTACTGTACATGATTCCTGGCAACCAGAGAAAATTATCAGAAGACTGATCCCCTTTTCATGCCTTCAATCCAAACTTTTAAGAAAATGAGACAACAAAAATGCTGGTTATTAAAACAATGCTCCTTTCAGGAAACTCAAATAACTACAAATTATGAAGTTGATTAGGAAAGTTTACAGCAAGACAAACCAAAGCTCCCTGTGTATAGTCTATAAATAAAAAAGAAAATACAGTATCAACACTCCTCAAGGTGAAAGAAAGACAACTAAATTTTGTTTTTAAAGAGGAAAATGTCCTACCATGATTTGTGTTTGTTGTGTGGTCAACATCAGGAAGACGGTTCTCTCCACTGGTCAATCCCTTCACGAATTCCCAGCTTGAGTCTCCTGTGAGAAATGGCTCCCAGCCACAGAAACCAGACTCAAAGTCACACAGGAGACGATTTGCTGTAATGCATGGAGAAGCAAACAGGTGAGGAGAAGGGCGGTAGGGGCACACAGTGAAACTTTGTATCCTAGCCAGTGCAGGAGGTCAGAATAATCCCTCCACTGTGTAAAGAATGTTTTCTGATTATCAGAATAGTTTTACTTTTTCCAACCTCACAAAGTTTTCCATGTGCCGGGTGTGGCAACGCCCTCCCACATTCTTCTATCTACCAGGGAGGGCACATTTCAGCCCGGTTGGCCATCTCCATTGTATTTAATGATGCAAGCTGAAGCTCTGCAGCTTTTCAGGGAGTAACTAACTCACCTGCTGAACAAGCTTCACCTGCTGAGATGGTAGAAAAAAAAAATCTATTTGAAAGGAGGGAATGTAAATTAATTCCGGACACCTGAAGAGCTTGAGGTCAGCACCTTGGTATTCATTTAATTATGCCATTTTAACAATTTCTCAAAAAAAAATTCCTAGCCACTTTGGAATTGCAGGCAGATTAGATATTCTGAACTTTGCTCTTTTCCCCCTCTTAATGTACAAAGTTGGAAAACACTTAAGTTCCTACATTTATCACAAAAGAACCAGTTCTAGAGAAAGTCAGGATTTGGGGTCAGCTTTATAGGTGTCTTTCCCAGATTTTTCACCGAATTAGTGAGAAAAAACAGCAAGTGTCAGAGGACCGGGCAGTAAACTAGAAATTTTAACAACTTAATTTGTGCTTTCAAGAAATTGGTTTTCAAGTGCTTAAATTTCATTTTCCTAAAATAGGAATCATAGTATCAGTCTATCTTCAAAAGTAGTTTGGGGTAAAAATACAATTAATTTTAAACTTATTTCCAAATATTCCTGTTTCTACAGAGGCATTTTTATATCAGTGGAAGGGAGGACAAAATAATTCTTGGTCAGAAAACACCTAAAGTTTTGACAAGCTAAGATCACAATGCTATCATCTTCAGTAACAATAACAAGATACATGTTACCACTGAGCTCCAAGTAAGTGCAAGGTATTTTGAATATATTTCCATTAGTCTTCATAGATACCCTCCGCAGTAAGTATAATTATCCCCCAAAGAGAAAACTGGAACTTTAGCACTAAGCAACCTGCCTATGGAAAATTTCAGTAAATGGAACATCCAGGCTTTGAACTGATGCCAAGGCTTATACTTTGAAACTTCCCTAAAGCAGGGACTCTGTTTCATAATTAAAAAGACCATCATCATATGCTTGCTCCTAACCATTATTTTCTGTTTTAAATAATACGACCAATTTGACCGTTATATTGAATAAGCTCACTATATCCTAATAATCAAAGGGCCTTCCAATTTCTATAAACAGGGATGCCGGTTTCATGACCAGATATTTCATCACTAACATGTTAACTCTTAAAACACTGAAGTGCACTATGCAAATAGCAATACCACTTAAATGTTCTCTATGTGTAAATTAGACATTTAGATCTCAGAGCTATGCTTGTTTAGACAGTCATATAATGGATATACAATGAGAGATACTTTTTCTTTACAAGCAAATATTATTTTCTCCCTTAAATGAGTTTCCCAAAAAATAAAAACAAGTGAGTTAACTACAGTATAATAATGGAAAAATGCTGCACATTACCCAACGATGAATCAATATGAGAAGGAAATGCTGTTCACTCATATACCTAACTGGAAAGCCACTGCTTCTGAATGTGGTTTTGTTTTCTCAGCTCTGGCTACAGAGTTTTTAGGATACTGCTATTGATACGGCAGACTCCTCCTCAAAGGAGTCTCCTCTGGTTTTGACACCTATGACCTAGCTGTGACTGTCTCCTCTGGGTATCCAGAAAATCCTCTGGTCTGGTTCCTCGATCCTCTGTGAACTTTGCCACCCATGAGGTCTTCTCCCAGCTCTTCTAAGTCAGGTGGTGGAGTATGCAAATATGCAAGATTCGAAATACACATTTGACCACTGAAATGTGCTTAAAAGTTCCAAATTCTTGGTTGTGAACTTGGTGGAGGAATCCTTCCACCTCCCCCACAAGGCGACCCCCATTCCTAGAGACACAATTCCCTGGAACACAAAATCTTTCATGGGTAGAGTAACCACACATCGGGGTTGGCCCAGGATTGCCCTGATTTATGCCTGTTGTCCTGGCATAATAATTAATACCTCTCCTTTCCCCTCTCAAGTGTTCCTGTTTGGGCAATAATTTCAATATTACCCTATCGGGGCAGTAAACTATACATATATTGATACACAAAGAAAGCAAGTCCATATACACAACAACCTTAGTCACTGCAGGTGGCCACTGAAGTAACCATCCTATTCCCCAACTAGGCAGTGGTGTGAAATGATAAGACCAGTGAGTGTGGAAAGGAAAGTACAACCAGACCCAAGCATCGCCAACCCTTTGACAGACTGTTCACAACTGTGCCTGTGTCACTCAACTGCAAAGACATAAAGAAGATTTCAAGACAAAATAACTTTGGATTGTATAAATGTTGAGATTTGGCTTTAGGAGAAAAGTTCAAAGCATTTCTTTCATTACCTGCATGTCTTATCTGTTAAAATGTCGATCATTGCACTTTGCACAGAACACTAAACACTGCTGTCCTTTGAAAAATGAGAATTTTTAAAATCCATTACCATAAAGATATGTGAAAGCAAAATGATGCAGTCACCTCTGTAAAAATCTTGGTGAATTGCTCAGCTGTTGTTACCAATGACATTTGTTCGAGCGCACTTCAAAGGACTTGTTTTTAAAGCTAAATATTCTAGAATTTAACTGCGCTATAAAATATGTCAAATTCCAGTCACCGAAGTTGAAGTTCTTGCCTTAATATTTCCCCTACAAAATTCAGGAAGTTTAAGGTGAAGTTATAAATATATGTAGAAACCAGGAGGGCCAAACACATTCTGGCAACTAAGAAATACTTTATGACACTCTATATGTTAAATGTTGAATATTTATAAAATCCAAAAAATCATCTATTCATATTATAAACAAAATGTATTCACTACAAACAGTGGTTTTGATTATTTGGTTGCTTTTATTTAAATTTCTGTGATGATAGAACACACTTCACCATTTCTAATCAGAGCATGAGATATGCCACTGTCCATAATTTTAGTGAAATTTCACTGAGTTCATCAGTTAGAGTAATATTTTTAAATTATGACAAAGCTTTCTCTTGCATATTTAATCACAGTATCATATTGGCAGGAGAAAAAGAATTTCATGTGGCAGCTGAGGAAAATTCTGCAGGATCATGGAAATTAAAATATTTATGAATCCTCCAGTTGAGAAGTAAATCAGTTGTCTATTATCTAAGACAAAAGTCTTTATGGGAATGAATGGAGAATGTTCCATTCAATAACATATATTAGATTTTAATGTGATTATACTATATAAACACTGTTACTATTTATTGAGAAACCACAAGCATCTTTTCTCCACTAAACATACATGTATTTCTTTCTCGCCCTCAGGAAGTATTTTCGTATTCAACAATTTTCTTTCAGAATAGAAAGACATCCAGAGACAGTATCACAGTAAAACTTAGATGCCTTGCACTGGATTCTTGGTTTAAATTTCTTTCATTTGAATATTGTACCAACTTCGTCAAACTGTCACAACTTATATCAGCAATTTTAATGCTCTAAAAAGTCCTACAATTAAACGAACTTTTTCCCACAGAATTTTCTAAACTGTTTCGATTTGACCATAGACCTGTCCATCCTGGCACCCTTTTTGGAATACAACACACACAGTCTTTTTCTACAGGCTATGATTGGAAATTACACACATATCTTTTCAAAATTTTATTGTGGGAAAACATACATAGCATAAAATTAACCTTTTTATCCAGGTTTAAGTGTAGAGTGTCATTAAGTACACTCACACAGCCGTACACCCAGCACCATCATGCACCTCCAGAACTTTCTCATCTTCCCAAAGTAACTCCATACCGATTAAACACTAACTTTCCACGTTTGCCTCCCCCTCTCTCCTGGCAACCACCATTCTGCTTTCTGTTTCTATGAATTTGGCTCCTCTAGGTAGCTTATATAAGTAGAATTACACATATTTGTCCTTTTGTGACTGGCTTATTTCACTTAGCATAACGTCTTCCAGGTTCATCCACGTCGCAGCATGTGTCTGAAAATTAGGTATACTTTATATGTCAATTACTCAGCTCGCCAACGTATGCTTTTAGATATGTTTGGCACATGTTATATTTTAATCATTTATTAGTAATATTTAAAAAATATATTGCATATGTATTTTATTATTAAAAGTCTCTATTTTATACATGCAGTATTTGTCCTTCTGTGACTGTCTTCACTTAGCATAACGATTCCTCCTATATGAAGTATCTAAAATACTCAAATTCACAGAAGCAGAGAATAGAACAGTGGTTGCCAGGGGCTTCAGGACAGAGAAATGAGGACCTGTTGTTCAATGGATATAAAATTTCAGTTATGCCAGATGAATCAGTTCTAGAAACCTGCTGTACCGCCTAGCGCCTGTAGTCAACAACACTATACTGTGCTTTCTTTTTCAAATGTTTTGCAGTACTTCTATTTAACGGTTTTGTAGAAATACAGCCTTTCGTGAAATATTTTGAGAAGGAAGAGACAGAAAGAAGAAAGAGCATGGGAAAAAAAGCTCACTTGTCTGCTCCACTAGCAACGTGCAGCAGGACCATTTTTTACATTCCTTTAAGTGATATATTTCAAGCTGAAAGTGCGGTCACAGGGGAGGCCTTTGCCTTGCATCTCCCACACCGATCTTGACGACGGAGCCTTTTAGGGTCGACGTGGCGAAGTTTTACGGGGCAGGTGGAGCTAGTCTGTTTAAAACTAGGACAGGCGCTACCCTCCGCTCAACAAGGTTATAAGACTTCTGCGAAGTTCTGCAAAACCGCTTGAAGTTAACCTCGTTAGTGCCCCGTACCCTCCCCACGTAGGCACTTTCCCATCGGATGCTGCAGTCCTTGCAGCGACGACAACCGCGTTGCTGCTGTAAGAACTGCCCTGGGCCCTGCCCACCTGCGGGGCTGCTCCGGGCTCCCTGGCCCTCCGCCGGGCCACCTCCTCGCCCTTCCACCTGCTGTTCCCAGCGCGCCCGCACCGCGGTCTGGGCCTCGCCTCCTCCTCGGACTGCGGCCCTGGGGCTGCCTTCCCTGCCGACCCCGCTCCGGCCTCGGGGCCTCTGCTCGCCGCCGCGGTCTCGGCCTTTCCAGAAAGGTTGGGGCGCGGCGGCGGCCCCGGGCGACTACCTGGCGACAGCGCGCGGGCGCCGCTCCGGGGCTGCCCTGCGCAGGGGGACGCTGAGCCGCATCCGGGGCCGAGGCTGGCAGGGGGTGGAGTTGCGGGCCCCGCGCAGCACCAAGCGCCGCCCCACCGAGGACCGCAGCGAAATGTCACGGAGCGGGGTCACCTCTATGGTCACGTCGCGGAGGCTGGGGCTCGCCGCCCTGAGTTGTGCCTGCTGGTAGTAGTCGAAGTACTCAGCAGTCTCCAGCTGCCCATAGCCGGGAAAGAGGAGGAGGCCGGTCCCACCAGGGAAGAGGACCACGAGGAGGAAACGGAGCCTGGGAGAAGCCCCGCCCGCGGCGCCCTTGCCCTTGGCAGCCTGCGGGTAGGGGGACCCGTCTGGGTAGGGGCCACACGCCACCCGCCCAGCACCCCTCCCCCAGGGCAGCCATAAGCGCAGACCCACCAGGTTAAGAGGGTAAGTCTCGTGTTGTGTTCTTACTACAAAAAAGGGGAACACAGGAAAACATTTGGAGGTGAAGGATGTGTTGATGGTTTCACAGGTGTATGCAAATGTCCAAACTCATCAAATTGTATCCGTTAATTACATGCAGTTTTTGTATATGAATTATACCTTAATGAAACTGTTAAAAATCTCGTTTGATCTTATAGTAATGCTCGTGGCGATTAGTAAGTAGTGGGAGTTTTTGCTTCTATTCAGAATTCTCTGACGAGTTTGCCTTTTCTTAAGTCTACATTTTTATATGCCATCTGTTTTCTCTTTCAGCTGTCTTTTCATTTCTGAAGCCTGTTTGGAGAACAGTGATTCTCAAACTTTAATATTCAGAGGAATCACCTGCGACATTGTTACAATGCAACTTTTTACAGCCCAGTTCTGGAAGACTGGGCTGTGGCCTGAGGTTCTGCGGCAGAGCGAGGTCCCAGGCAACGCTGATGCTGCTGGTACACAAAGTGCGCTCTAGTAGCAAAACTCTAGCAAAACCCACTTCCCCTTTATAATTAACTGCTTCTGGAAAGGCACTGACCAAGAGACTCAGTCAAATACGTTTGTTAAAATAGTATCCAAAAGCAAGAGGAATTTGCTAACCAAACAACGCCTGAATGAGCGTGTCTTTTGGGAAAAACGCATGGACTATGGCATACTAACTGATGATGTTCATGAGTTAACATTTACTAAGTCTCCAGAATATGGTAAGTACTTCTGGTGCTATTCAAACTGGATATATGATGTAAACCAGCCTAGAGATCCCAAAGTAGGATAAAAAGAAGATATGAAAGCATTTTTCTTGTGCTTCATGAAGCTGGGAATTCGATTTATAAGAAAAGTTTGTATTACAAATTCAAATTTGTAAAATATAAATTTAAAAGTATATGTAAAATCTTTCAACATGGTTTTAAATTTCAAAGGGAAGCCTCTCTTATTTTGTAATAATGTACATATGGATATATGCATAAATATATTAAATACTTTGGTGCAGAAAATAGTGTAATGGTGCATCAATTCTAATAATTCAATTGCTATATAATTTCCACAAAGCAAAAATGCTTATACAAATATTTATATGAAATATTCATGTTGGACTCAAAATATGTGTATATATATTCATCATAATACATAAGTATTTTGTAATATGTACTATGGCTACATTTTTATGTCGTATATCCTACATCGAGTTGATCTCAATCAAGTGAACATGCTAGGTTTTCTTTGGTCAAGTGAGGTAGCGTTATTTGGAAAACTTAACAGACTAAGAAGTAAACACTATTTGTTGATAAGCACCAACACCTGTGCCTGCATTCACACAAAGGAATGGCAGAATGGTATCAAAATATATTCTACTGAAAAGATGCCATATACGTAATCAATGAAACTTCAATAAAGGAAGGGAAATGGGAAAATATGTCAAAAATCAAATGCTAAAATATCTACTAATACTCCAATTTGATTAAGAAAACCAATTAATAGAAGAACATAGAGAACCCATCACCATAGGAAAAGAGAGAGAAAAGAAGCTGTTTCAATATGAACAATTGAATAGACAGGAAATATATTTACTTTCAGTTATTGAAATTGAGACTAATGCCAATCTTTAGAAAGGTGAATTTCTCCAAAACAAATGAACCACATGATCTGTAAAAACTTTAAATAGAGCACAGAAAGGAATCTGACACTCATATTAGAGAAAATGTATTGTTCTCAAGTGTTTTGTTGTTCTTGTTGAAAGAAAAAGGAGAGCTGAAAGAAAAACTCTATCGAAATCATATTGGTAAGTAGATTATTTTGTTTACATCTAATGTCTAAAGGTAGGTGTTTGAGGAATTAATGGAATTGCTATTTACAAACAGATGGAGGATTTCTCTCTTGCTTCCCCATCTCCCCTTTCCTATATCCTTCTCCATTGCTCTTTATAAAATCTTTACTTGCCCGTCAACAGAAGCATATCATACAAAGAGCTTTTCATTAAAAAGGTGGTATTTATCTTGTTGCAATATTTTTCTCTTGCTCAACAAAATACTTCACTAAAATAAAACACTGCAGCAAAATAAATGTCAAGTTTTTAATAATTTAAAAGAACCACTTGTTTGCGCTATAGGAATTGGATTCATTTAGTTGGAATTCATCATTTCTAAAGAGACACTATCTTAGTTGCTAAGTTACCTCATCTGGGAACCATCATGTGGGTTGTAAATTAAATTACATTTCCTCTTAAATATGACTAGGCTGGAATAGTAATGGGATTTCTTGTCATTACTCCTATCAAACACCCTCCATAAAAGGCCTGAAAGGAAGATGTTGGGCCTTTTTTTTACCCAGTCATGAGGACCAACGGTGGCTGACATGCAGCCCTCTGCCTCTTTATCCCTTCCCCACAGCTTCCTACATAACTGGTCAGAATGGAAAAAGCTTTATATTTAATAAAAGTTAGCAATTCATAATGTCTCCAAAGGGAAAAGTACAGAGAAGTTCCCACTCCCACCCATTTTCCTCTTTAAGACGCATGTACACGCACACACACACACTAATCACAATTATGCATTTGTTGAACAAATAGAGAGGTTTTACAGTGTTAGCAACAAGCACTAAAACATTAAATTACCATAGAGATTGCCACAAGGAACAGAGCTAATAGCTTCAGAAAGAGAACGCACATTCATCTTCTTTCATCCGTATTAACTTTACCTTGATCAAAACAAAGACTATTTTCAATCCAACTACAGTCGTGAATGTGAGCATGTGAAAGAGTAAACTATGAACTCACGTACAGCAGGTCACTGGGTCTTCATCACTCTCATCAGAGCAGTCCTGCCGAGAGTCACAGACCGACTCTTGGGCGATGCACTGGCCACTGGCACAAGTGAATTCAGCTGCAGAGCAAAGCTTTCTGGATGGAGCCTGTGCACAGGCATAGACCCAGAGCTGATCGAGCCCAATAAAGCCTTTCTGGCTCAAAAGAGCCCCTTCAAAAATAACCTTTAGGATAAAAAAAGAACAATGTATGAGTTCATAATCTCTTTTAAAATACAAAAAAAGGATAACAGAGATTAAATAATTATTGAGAAAAAAGTCCGTTTAAAGAGCAAGCACAATTGATAAAACGTTCCCATTTGAGAAGCCTGACCCACATGCATAAGACTAATGGGCACGTTAGATCCACTGGGGCCTCTGAGAAACCACCCACGATCAGACGAAATACAGCATCCCACTTAAGCATTGACAATATCCTTGACTGCAAACTTGTTACTTGGTCATCATCTTAACAGCTCTCTTTCTTTAATATTGAAGGAAAAAAATAAGTATTGTCACTACTTGTATAACAAGAGCTAGAAGTGCGTCTGGTTTTTTAATTACTGAAATTAGTAAGGAATGCATGAAAGGAAATATCAGGCAAATAGTAAGGGATAAAATAGAAAATTTAAAAGAATAAATATAAAACTCTATCAATATTCATAAAAGAAGAATTTCTCTAACAATCAAAGAAGTGCTCATTAAAGGAAATAAATCTCGTTTTCTCCAATCAAATTGCTAGCTTTTCTGCAGGTCTAGATTTTTAGCAAGTGAAACAATCATACCTTGCAAATCTAAGATAATGTTAAAGTGTTAATATTTCTTGAGGTTCTACCAAGAGTAATGGTAAGTTAACACCAAAAGTGAAGGAAAGGTATAAATATCTGACTATAGTAAAACCTAATTCTCTGCCATCCAATATGATAGTCACTGGCTACATAGGGCTATTTCAACTTAAGTTAATTAAAATAAAATTAAAATTCATTTCCTCAGCCCTACTAGTCACATTTCAAGTGTTCAATAGCCATGTGTGGCGATCGGCTACCATATTGGAGGGCTTAGATACAGAAAATTTCTATTAGCACAGAAAGTTCTATTAAACAGTGGTAAACTAAATGTTGTTAATGTATAAATAAGATAGGAATAAAGACCGACTCCTTTTAGTTTCTTCCAGCTTAAAGTTCCTGAATAGATTTTCTTCTTTGTAAAAACATGAGGGCTATATATTTGTTTGTTTGTTAAGAATTACTTAAGATCAAGTGTCAGTTTGCAAATATATTTAACAATTTAGTCTAGAAAATAACATTAAATTTAAATCATATCTAATACTAAGAAAACTTTGCATGCTACTCTACACTTTCCCCATAATGAATATTATAGCAAAAGTATGTAAAAATTATTGGATCTACAGCTGTATATTTTCATAACAGCAAGAGATCAGATATGCAGAAATGATACCAGTTTGGGTTTCAGAAACTGAGTTTAAACTTAGATCTCAAAGTCTGCCATTATTGAAAAGCTAATTAATGTGCAATTGGAAACCTAGAATGACTCCCAAATTATTTTCTTTATATTTTACTTTATTTTATCTTTGAGTTAAATAAGAAAACTTTAATATTCAGTTTATGTAAAAAGTACAAAACTCTAATCATTTCGTACCTCTTTCAGAAATTATAAAGAGAAATGTCAGCTTAGAAAAACCAAAATAGTGTCAAAATGTTAACTCAATAGGCTATCACATAAACCTCGACTTTGCTAAAATTGCTACAAAAATACTGTGGTTCAGAAATACCAACCATGACAGTAAATGGGATTCTAAAAGTCTGCATGGTTACAGTTCAGCATCATTTGAGTTTCCCTTTTAATACCAAGAAAAATGTATAAATATGGAATTAGCATAAAGGAATGAAATTAGTTTCAAAAGCCACACATATAATGTTTCATTATTTTACTCACACTCCAGTATAAATATATTTATACACTCTATATACAGCACAAAATGAATGGAAACTTAAAATACTTCACTTCAAAAATAAAATTCTAATTAACAATAAATAATACCAGCTATTTAAATATTGATCCCACTGGCATTACTATATCTTTCGATATTGCCATGATATTAGAAAAGAAGGAAGTCATAGGCAAAGATTTAATATGAAATTTTAAAAAATGTTATCAGATACATATTTTCTACACAATCTCAACTCTACATACAACACAAAATAACAAAATCGCAAATTAATTTTTTGAAGAGACAGCATGTCCACTGAGCATATGTATGTTTCAGATGTATCTCTGTATAGACAGAGTTATCCATGTGTTATAAAGATGTGAACTATTACATTCAAAATATTTGCGTATACTCTACTGATTTTCAAAACTGCTTTATTATTTATCTGCTTCTCAGTGCAATTTGCTTCCCTGGTCACACTGCATGGTGCTGGGGGTGCCAGGCAGGGAGCCCATGGAGAATGAGGAAGCTTTAAACAAGAGTATTCACACTCCAGCGCCTCTGCTCAGGGGAAATTTGGCCTGAGAAGGGCTAGGTATGATGAAAACAAGTCAGTAACTGCTCTCCCTAAATATACAAGTCTACATTCCTAATTTAAATGCTAATTTAAGCTTAGCAACGGGTGATAAATTCACTACTGCAAAGCTAAAAATTAAATTTATGATAAAAAAAATTTGCTTTCCCCTTTTATACCTTAAATGTCTTCAGTCCTTCTGGTATTAGCACATCTGCTTTCACCCATTTTCTGTGAGTTGATGTGTTGTATGTCCAAAATATTTCTTCTTCCTTTGATTCGACGAAAAAGACATTACTGATTCCTCAAATTCTCCTCTCGTACTTACCTACTCTCTTAATTACATTTTAGTAGAGTTTGCCTTACCTATATGATACGAAGTGCTAGGGAATCTAAAGAGTTGGTGAAAACCTATAGAACACTTTTTAAAGGAAAAATAAGGAAATGGGAGCAGGGATGAATAGGTGGCACACAGAGGATTTTTAGCGCAGGGAAAATGCTCTGTATGATACTATGATGGTGAATACATGTCATTATATGTGTCCAAACCAATAGAGTGCACAATACCAAGAGGGAACCCTCGTGTAAACTATGGACTTTGGGTGATAATGATGATTCAATGTAGGTTCATTTGTTGTAACAAATGTACCATTCTGGTGGGGGATGTTGACAACGGGGAGGCTGTGCCTGTGTGGGGGCAGGGGGTGTATTGGGAAATCTCTTAATTTTGCTGTGAACCCAAAATTGCTCTATAAATATAAAGTCTTTTTTAAAAAATAAAGAAATAAAGCATGTCTTTGTAGTAAAGCTGCTTATTTTTTGTGATGGACAGTAACAATGGAGCAAAAATTTGAACGGAATCTTAAAGTACTGTATTTCAAAAATAAAATTCTAAATAGCAATTTATAATACCAGCTATTTAAATGTTGATTCCACTGACATTACTACATTTTGCAATATTGCCATGATATTAGAAAAGAAAGAAATGACAGGCAAATGTTTAATACAAAAGTAAAAAAAAAAAATGTTAGATATATTTTTCTGCACAATCTCAACTTATATATTTTTTCTATGAGAGATTTCATTCCAAGTTCCAAACAATCAAACAATACAGTTATGTTCGAGAGATTATATTTCTTTTTGACTCTCTGGTCATTCTATCAAAGACCTTTTTACATTTACCAGAGCACACCATGTCATGCATCTCTATAATGACCATTTTCCAGGTTGCAAAGTATATGCAAAATTATGTTACTATACGCAGTGAGGTAAGATACTAATAAAGTCTGTAATGCGCTCCAAATTTCTGCCTACCGTATTGGGCTTTATGATTTGTGCCTACGGCTGTATGTTCTGAAATAATCCTATATTTCTTTAGATTTTATCAAACATTCAAGTTAATTTAACATTTACCTGGTAAACATAGACCAGATTGTTCATAGTATTTACCCATAGGATGCATTAATTTATCCTGTATCAACATAGTGAAAACGCAGAGGATGGCATAAATATGTCTCAGGTTGAACTCTGAGACTGTCTCTGTGCCCTCCTTCTACTGCAAGATAGAAACAGCACTGGAAGGTGACATCTAGTTGTAATTCAAATGACACATGACACTCAGACTTTTTCAGACTCTCCTTACTAAGCATTTATTTCCTCACTTAGTTTCACTTTTTTCATTTATGCCAAGATTTTCTAAAAATGAATTTTCAATTTAGTCCTTTAATCTCTGTTTTCTACTCCAAATTACCAAGTCTTAAATATTCAGACGATAGTCTAAATCCATTAAAATGCATTTCTTCTCATTATTTATTCATATCAACTGTTAAGACTTTAGCAAGACACTGAAACATACATGGTAGACATATTTTCAGCTTCCAGGTCACATCAGGATGAACTGGAGTTATAAAAAGTTGAGACAAGCAACTAATTTTTCTTTCAGTAATTTCCTAAGCCACTTGAGTTATTTAGCAACGAAACACTTAGATCCTCCACAGATTCTTTTGGTGACACTGCATGGCAAGTTGCATTCATCATGTCCTCTCATTTTCATTTTATGAAAATAATTTAGAGCAGTTGTGTTCATTTTTTACAATGACTAATTGATTCCTCTCTGTTCTACCTGAAGAAGAATGCATTTACATTCTTTTGAAAAGTGAGTGGAGTTCTTTCTAAACTTAAATGGCTTTTCATATACTAAGTTAACGGTATATTGTGTATGAAATCCAGATTTTTCTACTACATTTTCCTGTCTGACAATACAAGCAATGAAAAAGAAAACTAATTTATCCCGACTAAATGAAATCAGCTTTTATTTTATTTCTGTCCTTGCTCTCAGACTCTTATCTAGTTACTTTCAGCAGATGTCAATGTAAAAAAGAAACTCTCAGCTCAGAAAAGCCTTTCAAGTGACACTCTATTTTCTATTATCTTAAAATCGATCAATCAATAAACATTCTAAAAATGTCTTTGCTCCCCCAGACCAGGATCAATAATGTCATTTTACCCTTCGAGAAAAATATTTATCACTAGATCTCTTGGACATCTCAGCTTATCTTTCACTTTTCCAGTGAAGAAATGAAAGGTACCAAATTCAAGGTTTTTTGTTTTTTTGTTTTTTTTTTTTTAACTACTTTAAATTACATGTGGGGATAGGACCATGTACTTTGTTAAAGACCTTCTTTCAAAGAAAGCTTATAGTGGCTTTAAAAACTGTATCATACAAGAAAAGATACTTTCTAAGACATTTTCTTTCCCGCCCCAGTTTGCATTCTTCCTATTTGTTAGCAAGAATTTAGAAAATATGTTAACAGTACCGCAAGCTGGGCACCCCACTCTCCTTGGCTCACTGATACGGAAACTCTCCTCAGGATAAAAGACAGGATTGTTGCTATGATTATTACCTTATAGATGATGGACAGAGATCTAATCTCAAGAGTAGTAAATGGCACAAACTAGAATTGCTACTTTTTATTTAACAACTTGCCTCTCTCCTGTGTTTTCTATTTCCCAAGTTCTAATGTTCTCTGAAAATAAAGAAAATGACCGTTGGTGTTCTCACGAGATACTTCTTGGTTTACCTGCACACATTCTAATGATTGTTTTCTTTATCTATTCATGGAAGATGTAAATTATTCTTTTCATCAAGAGCTAATTTTTTAAATGATGAGTCCTTTTTCAGTTTGTGATAAAACATCAATGTGTGACTTAAGTGTACTTTGATGCAGATTTTATGTTGGTGTTGAACATGTTACAGGTGTAGATGTACATGTTACCTGTATAGCAAACAGAGGATCAGAAGAGATAAGATATTGACCTACAGAATACTGAATAAACTGACTCAAACATTAGTTAACACTTTCTAAGACGTACACCCAATTGCTTCTGACTAACACACTAGATCAGTTCTCCATGATTAACTTCTTTTCTTATAATGTCGGAGATGGAATCTTGATATCTCTATTCTTATTATGTGATGTGGTATCTGAAGCCGATTTCTTTCACTCTTTTCTTGTACAGTCCCAAAGCCACCATAAAAATGATATTTCTTATTTTTAATAATTCATAATTCCATTCTACATATATTAAAACTTTGAAAATCCATCACTGATGTTCAGGGCAGATTAAATACTGCTCAGGATTAGAAGATATACGATACAAATTTTTACTTAAATTTAGCATAATAACTCATTCAACTTTTAATGAATATTAATAAATTATCTTTCACACAAAAACTACTATCTTAGGATCATATATTTTTAAAGCATCTTTAACTATAATATAAACTCAATAAAATTTTCCAGAATTTTTTTCACTATGTCTTTGTTGAAGGAAATTGGAAATTATAGAAGGTTGCAAATTGCATGGAGGCTCATTAGGCTTGGTTTACTTGGCACAGGTGACAATAACTGAAAGATTGTTGAAGCATGAACGGTAACATATCTGGATAAAGTTTAACCTAATTTTTTTCTTCTTTGGTAAAATTTCCCCCATATGTCTGGAGTACTGCAGAAAGGGCAGGGAGATGTTTTCACCCATTCACTCACCCCACACCTTACCAAATTGAATGAAATATATCGAAAAGATTCTAGGGCTGTGGGCTGCCAAATACTGCTGCAAAAATATCACAAAAATATAACCTAGTTACAGAATGCTAGAAATTATGTCTCATCCATGTAGCAAATGTACTAGCCAACCAATGAGAATTCTTATCCAACTTTATGCCTTAGGACTCTGTGAATGTTCTGGAAAAGAAGTAGCAGAAAGAAGACTGGACATGATGAAAATAACACAAAAGGAAAAGGGAGAAGTTGTGTGATAGAACTAGGAAGAATCAGAGACAATTTCTCTTGGATTTTCAAATATCTTGGTAATAAGCATTCTGATACTTGAGGATTAATTATGGTGGCACTTCAAACTTGAGAAGGAAACAGAGCACAAGAAAGTGCTATTAACAGGTAGTTAGTGGCACTTGATAAGCACAGGCAATAAACTTTTTTGAAAAATGAATCTGGCTGATGTCATGTGGAAGTTTCAACTGGGCTTATTCAAAGCATCCTGAGCCAAAGGAAACTGATTTGGAGGCATTTACTGTCTTCCTTTTCCCAGTGTCAGAATTCCTGCAATCATTGTCAAATGTTCCCCATTTCTAGAACGCCTGCTGTTTACCCATATGATTTCTTTACTCCGATCTAAAAATAAATTCTTCTTCACAACAGAAATTCTCAAAGCATCTGAGGTATTTTCCCACTTGCAAAAGACTGTTTTCAGTTAAAGTTAGGTAAAAAAAGGCATGGATTTGTTTTATTCACTAGCATTACAACTACAACTTTCACTCTACCCGGTGAGTCATTTTCTTTTTCATTCAAAAGACTCATCTGTCTGTATTTAATCAGGAATTACCAGTCTTTAAATTTGTATCTACTGGTACCAGAACAAGTAATGGACTTCCATCATATTTATAGCCTTAATGATATATAGATCTAAAATTCAAAACACATCACATCAGAACTTCAATACACAGTGAATAATACAGAATCCCAGATATTTCATTTTTTATCAGACCTATAGTTTCTTTAATATATTTCCATGAATTTTAACAACTTTATGAAATAATCCTCTGCAAATTATCACAGTAACTTTTTCACATGACAATATCTTTGAAACTGGCTCCTAAATATTTCCTTTTAAAAAGAATACCAAATAAAGTCAAGTCAAAGAATATCTAAAGCCTACATACAACTGAGAAATAGAAACACAAGTTGCCAAGAACAGAAATTTCATTTATTGAGTGAATTTGAAATAAATGCAAATTTCTTCTCACCTTATTATTATATAGTCCTACTCTCAGAACACTGTTTTCCATGGAGTAATAGAATTGAAGATGGCAGCTCTTGCCCACGCAGTGATACACAGAGCTATTTAGATAAGCCCTGTTGTCTGAGTGGTTAAGAGCAGAAGCATGCTGAGCCCCCACCCATATATAGGAACCTGAAAAACAAAGGAAAAGGAAGCAATTTAGAAAAAAATTAGCTGCTTTCTGTTTGAACAAAATTATTGTATTTCTGGAGTTTTCAAAATTGGGTTTGAACATAAATATTTTATTTAAAAAAATATGGTGTTTTAAAATGATCACATCAACTACAAATTATGGGTTTTCATTTCCGTATGTGATTTCTGAAATGCATCAACATCTCTTCCTAATTCTTGAAATAGCGCTTTGGTAATACTCCCAATATGAAAATTCATTATTCTTATCAAAAGAAATCTACTGATATAAAAATCTCTATGCCACCAAATTCTTATTTTATTTTAAATGCCACAATACAATCTTTCTTTAATCATTAATTTCTCATCTTTCTTCCCAAAATTCTTTTCTCTTTTGATTATTTCTTTTACTTTTCACAAAAAACCCTTTATAGCTTAAGGGAATATAATTTAAACTGCCTTTTTTATAACCAAACTACATAGAAGTATCAGATATCTGGGGTCTTATTAAACTACACCTGTGGATTTTGTAATACATATTGTCAATCAATGTTTCCCATCTGATTCTTAAAACCAATTTGATAGTTCTTGAACTCAATGGCATAGACAATGCAGAGCTACAAAGATATTTCTATGATTTTACTACTTCAGTTTTCAAAAATAAAATCTTTCATATGTTTTATTTCTTTGTAAGATAGTAAATATTCCTGAAGCTTCTAAAAACTTTGAATTTAAATTAAGTGAAATTCTTATTTACTAGAAATGATAGACTTTAATCAAAATAGCACAGTAAGTTAATACTTTGCCTCTGACCTATACTTAAGAAAATGATGAACAAAATGAAAACACATTTTTACAAAAGCAGAGACAGATCAAAAGCAAGATAAAACATCTCGAAAAATGATGATATGCCAAGTAATGAGGAGGGCTGGAACCCACAGAACTTTTGGACTTTAGGACCTAAAGCAGCCTGGGGTAGCTTGAATTTTGACTAACTTAAATGTTGCAAGAAGCTGAAGGAACAGAGTCAAATCTTCTCAATGAAGTCAAAGACTAGGCCTGGGGAACCCTGCTCATAAACTGAGGTAGGAACTATTCCTACCCTCACTGCCTTGGGCTACGGCTAAGTGACAGGGTGTAGAAAACTCCAAGAGTTATCATGAAGTATGAACCCCTAAACTAGTATCATTACTCAGATAAGGTCTTGGGGAGCTAAATAATACTATGACAAAAGCACTGAATGAGGAGGTAGGAACAAAGAAAAAGAGTAGGAAAGAATGGAGGGGAGTGGAGAAAGAAAGCAAACTTCATTGAGGAAGAGCCTGCAAAATTTCTGGTTTCTGGACTAGTATGCAAGGAGCTAGGAAGTTGTTAGTCCTGTGCTCTCAACAAGAAAGCAAATGAACAAACAGAGAATCAATAACACTTCTTACATCCATGAGAAAAGTGAGATTATGGTGCAAACCACTGCCCCAAGAATTAGTGAGGCAGGCAGATACAGATAATTGCAACTCACCAGAGCAGAAACCCAAGTGCACAAATTTCTATTGTAGCCAGTATTGGGGTAGAAAAACCTAATGAATTGCTGGAGGCATAATGTGGAGAAATTTGAGAGCTGAAAATACCACGGGAGCCCCTTTTAAGGAGGATCCCACACTTTTGTGAGTTTGACTTCCAGGAACCCTACCAGGTTCTCCCAGTGAAAATGAGAGAAAAATCTTCTTGTGCCTGCAGCTGAGGGATTGAAAAAAGTCATTTTTAAATATACCAGGATTATTCTGTTATGCTTAACAAGGCTTCCACTCAAGAGAAACTATTTTACTACTGCCTAACTCACTGGCATTTGACCAGAGCCTAACCAACCTGGGAGAAGTGAAATATCACCTCCAGCAGGACCTAGCCTTCCACATAGGAGGAGGAATATGCCCAGATCTGCCCGCTCTAGCCTTCCTGTCTCACCTAAGGTCAGGAGGAAGCACCTGTGAAGGTCGTGGAGCAGAGGTAAAATCTCACTAGAAGACATAAACCTATTCATAGGAGTAGAGAATGCTTCACCTCCCCTCACAATCTCCCATCACACCAAAAGGGGTCCTGTATAATAAACAAAGGAATATTACTGAAAGAACTGCAAGTCGCAGATCGTATCTAAGAAGACATCGCTAGGAAAATCCGAAGACAACAGCTAAGACAAAAACAAGAACACTAGAAGAAATTTTAGCCTCGGATATCTATAGCTAGAGTAAACAGTAAACAGAGTCTAAACTCTAGCTGATAAACATAAAAGCTCATACTATAGACCTTTTTACTTTAATTCCTTTAACATGGTACACCATGCCTGGCATTTAACAAAAAATTACAAGGCATACTGAAAGGCAAAAAAAACATAGTTTGAAGAGAAAGAGCGAACATCACAAGATATGACAAGGATGTTGGAATAATCAGATTTGGAATTGAAAAAATCTATGATTAATAAGAGCTCTAATGGAAAAAGTACAAAACATGCAAAAAAGATAGATAAGGTAGGAAGGGATATGGCAATTCTGAAAAAGAATCAAAAAGAAACGCTAGAGATGAAAAAAGACTGTAATGAAATGAAGATGGCCTTCAATGGGGTCATTAGTAGACTTGACATGGCTGAGGAATGAATCTCTGAGCTTGGGAATACATCGATAGAAACTTCAAAACTGAAAAGCAAAAAGAAAAAACAATGAAAAAAAAGGAATAGTATACCCAAGAACTGTTGGACAAGTACAAAACGCGTAACATATGCATAACGGGAATATGAGAAGGAAAAGAAAGAGAAGCAACACTTGAAGCAATAATGACTGAGAATTTTCCCCAAATTAACAACAGACATCAAACCAGAGATCTAGGAAGCTCAGAAAACGTCCAGCAGGATAAATGTCAAAAAAACCCACACCTAAGCATATCATATTCAAACTGAAGGAAATCAAAGACAAAGAGAAAATCTTAAAAGAAGCCAGAGGAAAAAAATTCTACATACACTGAACAATGATAAGAATTAAATCGGACTTCTGTTTAGAAACCATGCATGCAACAAGACCATGGGGTAAAATATTGAAAGACAAAGAAAACGCCTAGACTTCTGCCTCCAGCAAAATTATCCTTCAAAAATGAAGGCGCAATAAAGACTTTGTCAAATAAAACTTGAGGAAATTAGTTGCCAATAGACCTGCTTTGCAAGTAATGTTAAAAACAATTCTTCAGAGAGAAGAAAAATGATATAGGTTAGAAACTCAGATTCACATAAAGAAAGGAAGAGTATTAGAGAAAGAAAAAAAAAGGTCAAATAAAATCTTTTATTTTTAATATTCTTAATCTAAAAGATAACCGTTTGTTCAAAATAGTAACAGCTGCAATGTATTTGATGATTATAGTTTATGTATAAATGAAATGAATGACAACAATGATACAAGGAAGAGGAGGGTGGAATTAGGAATATTTTATTTTATTTATTTATTTATTTATTTATTTCTTGTTTTTAAAGATTGGCACCTGGGCTAACAACTGTTGCCAATCTTTTGGGGTTTTTTTCTGCTTTATCTCCCCAACCCCGCCCTGTACATAGTTATATATCTTAGTTGCAGGTCCTTCTAGTTGAGGGATGTGGGACGCCACCTCAACATGGCCTGACGAGCGGCTCCATGTCCGCACCCAGGATCGGAACCCTGGGCCACCACAGCAGAGCGTGCCAACTTAACCACTCAGCCACGGAGACGGCCCCAGGAATATTTTATTGTTACAAGATACTTGTACTATGTGAAGAAGTATGGAGTTATTTGAAAATGGACTTGGATTAGTTGTAAATGTATTTTGCAAACTCTAGAACAAGCACAAAAAATGTAAAAAAGTAAGTATAATTGATATATTAAGAAAGGAGACAAAAAGGAATCACATAAGATGCTCAATTAAAACTACAAAGGCATTACAGGAGTGGAAGACAAAAAATAGGAACAAAGAACAAGAGTAAGAAATAGAAAACAGTAACACAGGGCTGCCATATATATATATTTAATAGGAACTTGAGAAGACAAGAATAGAGGGACTGAAAGAGAATTACTCGAAAAGATAACACATAATTTTTACCAGTGACGAAATATACACACTCTGAGCATTGAAAAAAATTAGATAAAAATATATTCGCACCTGCACTCATCATAGTGAAATTTTTGAACATTAAAGATAAAGAAACATTTTCAAAATCTGCGTAAAATTGAAAAACAATTAGAAGAGTTCAGGCTTCCCAATGATGACAATAGATATTAGGAAATATAGAAAGGCTGTCACCATGTACTCAGAAATGAAATAAACAGACTTTCATTCTAACATTATATGACCAGATAGAGTATTGTTTTGGAGTGCGGCCAGTTTAAAAGTATTTTAAGTTTATAAATACTAAGCAAGTTTATCTCCACAGATCTTTTCTAAATAAAAGAACAATTAATTAAAAAGTGAATCTTTGCAAGATGAAAAAGGAATCAAGGGCATGAAATAAAAGAAACAGTGATGAGTAAAGAAAATGATAGAGATAAAAGATTAAAAACCAAAGACCTTAACAGATGCCTCAGCAAAGAAAATATACAGATGACAGAGAAGCATATGAAAACATGCTCCATAGCATTTGTCATCAGGCAAATGGAAACTAAAGCAACAATGAGATCCCACTATGCACCAGTTAGAATAGCCAAAATCCAGAACACTGACACCACCAAATGCAGCAGAGGAGGTGGAGCAACCAGATCTCTCACTCATCGTTAATGGGAATGCAAAGTGGTACAGCCACTTTGGAAGGCAGTTTGGTTTCTTACAAAACTAAACCTATTCTTACTATATGATCCAGCAATCAAGCTCCTTGGTATTTACCCAAAAGAGCTGAAAACTTATGTCCACACAAAAACCTGCACACGGATGTTTATAGCAATTTTATTCATTAACTTGGAAGTAACCAAGATGCCCTTCAGTAGGTGAATAAACTGTATGACATCCAGACAATGGAATAGTATTCATGCTAAAAAAAATGAATTGTCAAGCCATGAAAAGACATGGAGAAACCTTAAATGCATATTACTAAGTGAAAGAAGCCAATCTGAAAAGCCTCCGTACCACGTGATTCCAACTATATGACATTTTGGGAAAGGCAAAACTATGGAGACCATAAAATCTACATGGAAGTAGAAAAAAACAGCTATTAGTTTCTGATGTAATAAAATTTTAAATTACAAATTTAAAAAAAGACTAACAATACTCCCCTCAAAAAAAGAGGAAGAAAAAAGCAATGGAGATAAATGTAAACAGAAAACACAAATTTAATGTCAGAATGAGAGGAGGAAACTCACTGACAATATTGCACTGACAAGGACAGCTAGTAGGCTTGTGAAAAGCCTTTTAATACTTTCCCTTTTTATTCCCACAAAATCTATTATCTCCTGATGATAAGAAAATAATAGCATTTATGAAGTTAAAATAGTTAACCTAGTATAATTCTTCCTTTCCACTGGTAATAACATGCTTTTTTTTTTTCACCTTCAATACCTATGGCATAATATAGTTTCAATAAAATATACTTCGTATGTTCATCAAGACCCCTGACTAAATGTCTTCATACTGGTTACAAGAAATCACACTTCTGAAAATGATAGATAAAAAATATTATTGTTTAATTTCCTACCTTCATCATCACCGTTTTGATCCTGCTGAGGCACAGATTCTAATGGAGGAACTTCTCTTGCTTTCGTGCGCATCCAAGAAATTTGCCCAGCGGATGCTTCTGATGCCCAGTCACACGTGTCAAAATCAAATCCACAGGCCTGACACACTAAAGAAAAGAGAAAAAGATCTTGGTGGATTATCACAGTCTACTAGGGTGGCTGCTTAACCGTGGTTATATGTTGTAACCAAGGCTTGAACACACAGACACATATACTAACACGTATCTGGAAATTTTGATTCAATAAACTTACAGTATACCAGCAACTCTATTTTTCAAAAGTTCTTCAGTTGATCCATATGGGCATCCTTCCCAAATAAGAACCATTGTCATAAAAAAACAAAAAGATGGGGGCCGGCCCCGTGGTGGGTAGCCCAGGGTCATGGATTCAGATCCGGGACGTGGACCTACACCACTCATCAGCCATGATGTGCCAGTGATCCACATATAACGTGGAGGAATACTGGCACAGATGTTAGCTCAGGGCTAATCTTCCTTGGGAAAATGAAAGCAAAAGGAGGTTTCCACTTTGTCTTATATCACTACTTCAGTTGTAATTTTTTAAATGGCATAATATCTGACCTTACTTACTTTATGGAATTAAGTTACTTAGTTTAAATCATTTACTATTCATAATCATATTGAAATTTTATATAACATATGTGTATATAATTCCAAGATGGTCTTTAATGGAACTACTTTATAAAACATCACTTTGACATATTTAATATCTTTCACTTTTTGAATAAATCATAGACTTCTAATGACACTTGAGCTAAAACTAGGACATAAATGTCAACAAAGGTTGGCAAGTGAGTATCCCCATGAATGATCTGAGTCTCACGAATGGACTACACACCAACAAGTTGGGCATCTCATTTAACACTCACACCTCAATCCTTCATCTGTAGAATCAAATCTGCAGAGACTTGTATCTGGATGGCATAACTCCTGCTCAGTAGTCGATGCTTCTTGACATGGTAAAATTTCATCTGTTAAATTTAAAGATTGGCAAGAAGTGAGATGCGGGTATTTCTTAAAATGTGTTTCTTAAAATGTTAACATTTGTTTTACAAAATACTCTTCACCCAGTTCCTCTCTATGGTGGCATCTCCCCTTAGGCAATCCCTTCACATACACACAGAAAGACAGAGACAAAGAGAGAAAATAAAATAACCATTCCAATGCTTCTGGATTTTAACCAGATCTCTATGGTGACCGCCAGGCCTTGTTACCACAGAAGTAAGGAACTAAGAGCCTATTAATAGCAGGATAATTGTACATGTGTCAAATATAATGCATGGTCTCCTCTTTAACTGGAAGCTGGATCTGCCCTGGAACCGCTTCCCCTATGCCCTCTCAAATGGTGTCCATTTTTCCCCCACAGCCCTTCCAACACAGGACTTGAAGGTGGACTAGGTGTCCTTCCTGCCGCCCTTGCCACTTCCAGATAATTCTCACTCTCACCTTCCCAATACCCGAGCTTTGAATTTCTTGACATGGAACAATACCCTTGCTTTGCCAGCTTGTTGCAGTCACCTATAGACATTGGTGCACTAACCCTCAATCCTTGAAGATTTTAGCTCTTGGTTCACTGTCATTCTCTGTCATTTCAATATTTATTTTCATCTTTCCTCTTAATTTGATTTTCTTTTCTTCTCCATGATTGTGAAGGAGAATCGCTGATGAAGAAACAACCTCCACCACCACCCCTCTGAGAATTATCATTACAAATGATACCGTTTCCTTTATCTTAACTATGAGTGGCCCACTCCCCAGCCACCATCCCTATCTTTCCATTCCAACTATTATGTCAACTTGAACAATTTTTTGATAGCACCAGGCACTATGAGCTAATGGTACTACAGTTTTCCAATTCCTTTCATTCTCTACTTTGTCCTCATGTCCTTTCTTACAGATGTTAGACAAGGAGTCATCCCTGGCCTTTCGCATGCTTGCCTATACTCTCAGGGCAAAAGATCTGGTAAGTACAACTGTCCACGTAGTGTCAGTGGGTGACAATTAGCTTTTTGGATTACAATGTAAGTGCCTGACATTAAAGTTTTTGATTGCCAAGGCATGCATTTCAAAGACATCCATCTCAAATAAACACATAGCAAATTAAACAACTGGATAAAGAGCCAGGCCATGCCACCATGAAGTTCCCCTTTTAGAAAGCTCTGGGTAACCTAGAAAACAGACTGTTTGAGTCACCCTGCTCTTCCCTTTCCATACTTTAATTCCTGCTCTTATGTTTTAAGCTCACCAATAAAGAGTGACTTCCTGAAACCCTAGGCACTCCCCTTTTCAATCCCAATAAAGGCAGAACCCCAAGCCTACACACTCTCTCTGTCTCTCTCCCCATGACACTGCTGTGTGGCCCTCTGGCTGTGCCATATAGCCTCCAGGACCTGTGAGCAATACACCTTGTTTTTCCAAAGTTCCCTGATGGTTGTTGCTGAGGTGTGTCTTGCAGTTATAACAAGAACCACAAGGGGCGGACCAGCCACTACATTGGCTCCAGTCAGGGAAATGTCGGTGGGGACTCCCACAAGTTCAGTCAGGCATGGCTCAGACACAGTGACACATTCTAGGAAATGCGTCCTTAGGCAATTTCGTCTTTGTAAGAACATTGTAGAGTGTATGCACACAAACCTAGATGGTATAGCTTACTACACACCTAGGCTATATGTACTAATCATATGGGACCATCATCATATATGAGGTTATTATGCAGTGCATTACTATAGTATGGGCCTGATGAGTGCCCAGAGCCTCCTAGCCATAACATCACTATAGATAGGCTCAGACCGATGCGAAACATCCACCTGCTCCAGCCTGCATCTGTGCAGCCAAACATGAGTGAAGAAGAGTCCACCACCACGCTGACAGATAGGACTTTATGTTCGTGACTACTCACTTCAACGCATCGTGGCCATCCCACTACATTTTCCTAATTCTTTTGTTTTCCTCCATTCCTAGACAACTATTCAAAGCCCTTTACTGCCTCCTTAAACTTCCCCTCATCCATCCCCATCATCGTTCTCAACTAATCGTCTTGCTTCACATTTCATTGGGAAAAAAAGAGCAATCACAAGGAAACCTCACAAGTCCTGCCACCAGGCTACCCGCACCACTGCCCACATGCCTTTCCTCCTGTAACTGTGAGTCAACCAGCCATGCTCCTCTCTGGGCCCACTCATTTCATTTTTTCAGAAAATGCATCTCCTCTTGCCTATTTAAGGAATCATTCCAGCAATTTCCTCCTCTCTTTTACATCAGCATGTTTTCTTTCCCTCTAGTACACAAAGGAGCCAAAATCTCACCCATTTTAAGAAAACCTCCAGACCCTACAACTCATTCCAACTAACTTCTCTAAGTTCTGCCTATTCTCACTGACCCCACACCAATTCTTCTCCCCTCCTTCTCTCTTGAACCTGTTCCAAAGGAGTTTTCCAAATTTTTTTAAGTAAACTTTGCATAACATAAAATTCACCATTTTAAAGTGTACGATTCAATGGCTTTTCTACCTTCACAATGCTGTGCAATTATTACCACTATTTAATTCCAAAACATTTTCATCACTCCAAAATAAAACCCCATACCCATTAGCAGTCACTCCCCATTCTCTCCTTCCCTCATCCTCCAAGCCCCTGGCAACCATTAATCTGCTTTCAGTCTCAATGGATTTGCCCATTCTGGACATTTCATATAAATGGAATCATAATATATGTGGTCTTTTGTGTTTGACTTCTTCCACTTGGCGTAATGTTTTCAAGGTTCTTTCATGTTGTAGCGTGTATTTTTCTTTTTTTTTACTCTTACCACTCCACTGCATATGTCAAAGTTGACCTCTATATTGCTAAATCTAATATTTAATTTTTCCTCCCCAATATACCTGACATATCAGTAGTATTGGACATAGCTGGTCACTCCCTCTTTCTTGAAACGTTTTCTTCACTAGATTCTAGTACATAATTTTCTGCTAGTTTTCCTCTTAAATTACTAGCTGTTCATTCTCAGTCTCCTTTGCTGGTTTTCCCTCATCTCCTCAAAGTCACATGAAGTAACAACAGAGTGCCCCGGAGCTCAGTCCTTGCATCACTTCTCTACGCTCAGTCTTGTTAATACCACCTAGTCTCATGCCTTTGAAACACTTCCTAAATGCCAAAGACTCATAAAATTATATTTCAGGCCCAGACATTTCACTGAACTCCAATATAGATATCTTATTGCTGACTTGGCCCCTTCACTTGGATAATTAACACACATCTCAATAGAAATATGTCTAAAGCTCAACTTCTGATTTTCTCTGCCCAAACTTTCTCCTCCCATATTCTTTTCATTGCAGTTCATGAGAACTCTATCCTTTCAGATCAGGCAAGAAATTTGGAGTCATCCATGACTCATTTCTCGCTCTCACCAAACATACCATCCATCAGCAATCTTTGCTTTATCTATAAAACACATCCAGAATCTCACTGCATCCTACCACCTCCTCTACTACCAACTCTGGCTCAAGGGAACATCGTTCTTTCTGGATTATACCAATAACTTCTTATTTTGCCTCCCTGTTGCTGCCCTTGCCCCATTATGGTCTTTAAATACATGAGTCAGATGTCACCTCTACTCAAACCCTTCCATGGGTTTCCATGGTACACGAAGTAAATTAAAAAGTCCTTACCATGGTCTTCTTCATACAAACCAGGCTTACTCTTGCCTTGGGAACTTTGCATTGACAGTTCCTTCCAATATCCACAAGGTTTGCTCCCTCAACTCCTTGACTTTTTTGCTCAGAAAATATGTTCTCCACGTGACCGTGCCTGATTACTGTATCTAAAACTTCACTTCATCCTCACCTGTGGCACTTTTTATCACAGTTTTCTGTCTTATTATTCCCCATAGCACATATCATCACTTTACAGAAAACATATTTTTAATTTATTTCCTTAGAGTCTTTCTCCCGCTAACTAAAATGTAAGTTCCACAAATGAAGGGATTACTGTTTGTTTTTTCACTGCTGTCTCCCCAATATCTAGAAAAATTCTTGGCACAACATAGGTGCTCAATAAACACTTGCTTAATGAATGAATGAATAAATGTCCTAGGAATAATTCAATAGAACCATTTAAAATATCATAGGCTCCATATAAATTGTTTACATTTTTACTCGGAATAAAATTGAAGCAATTGGTTATGAAAATGATTTACAAATAACATTTATAATCTGGTTTCTCATAATAGGAGCTTACAAATGATGAATATGCAAAACCTCTTAAATGTAAGATTCACTGAAAATAAAACTGCATGTGCAATTAAGGGAGGATGGGCAATAAATGAAGCTAAAATTGCACAATAATAATTCCCATGAAACAATTAAAACTGTAATTTTTGTAGATTCATATAATAGCCATAAATCTTCTGCCCCCTGGAGCTACACAATTAAATGATGGCCATAGTTCAATTAAGTCTTGTATATTATCTCCAATCTTTCACTATTTATACAAGGCAAAAAAATGCACAAAAGTACTGTAAATAAAAATAGTAAAATAGTCAAGTATAAATTGCATGGAATTAAAAAATGTAGCCTATGTCAATTGGTATCAAGTATCTTTCACCAATGTCAACCACTTTTACTACATTTGGCCCCAAAACAAATCTGGAACCATAAAAACAGTGGTCTATAGGTATAAGTTGTAAATCAATTAATCTCCTGGTCAGGTCTTTCCATTTTAGCACATTCATTCTAAGAGCTCAGAGGTATTTAAAGATGTCAATTATTTACATTTATATGCATTTTCTCTCTCTCCCATCTTCTCTTTCTCATTCTTACATTGCACCACAATCTGGCTGTAGAAAATTATTTTGGGGGTTTTAAAATCCTCCGTCAACGTTACATGATCAGCAGGATGAAGTCTGCCAACCATTTCAAGGTCTCTGTCAATGGGGCCCCATGTCTAGAGCCTGTGATCTTCAAATCTTATCTTGTACA